GAGAGAGAGAGAGAGAGAGAGAGAGAGAGAGAGAGAGAGAGAGAGAGAGAGAGAGAGTCAGTCTCTAGTCAATGTCTTCAATCTGGTAATGCACTCCTGTTAGCCTGTGGCTTACTATTGCACAATACCACAGACTGTTCCCTGTCAGGAACAGAATTTTCTCTCTTAGAGGTCTGGAGGCCGGAAGTTGAAGACTGAGGCATAGGCAGACTCAGCTCATTTCCTGAGTCATGAATGTCTGTCTTCTTGCTGTGTTCTCAGTGAGTGGAAAGAGTCAGGGAATGTCACCAAAGGGAACATGTCTTCAGTCTCAGCAGTGATTAGACATGGGTTTTATTCTTCTGAAAGACTGTAAACTCACCGTGGCAAAGGCCTGACAGCAAGAAAAAAGCATTAAGTTGTGTATGGGGGATTCCCACTAGACCTACAGCAAATACTTCAGAAGAACCCTTTCAGAACAGAGAATACAATGACATACGGAAATGCTAAAATGAAACAAAATAAAACAAAAACCCAGTAGGAATACTACACCCAGCAAAACTATTTGCAGACCTGAAAGATAAACAATTTCTCCAGAGGAGCAGAAATTGAAGGACTTTATCACCACCAGACTAGCCCTCAGGGACACGCTTACAGGAGTCCTACAGTAGAAATAAAAGTTCAGGGCCCAAGAGGTGGCTCAGTGGGTTTATGGCCAGTCTGATTTATGTTGTGTGTTCCAGCCCTCGTGGTCCCAGGGCTCCAGGCAAGGAGGGAGGAGCAGACTAGCGAAGCTCTGAGGCTGGGGGTGTGAGAGGAGCCAGCCTGCACAGCAGAAACAAGGAGAGCACTGACTCCCAGATGTTGTCCTCTGGTCTCCACGTGCTTCTTCCCCGCCACACCAAAATTTTTACAAGTTAATCATTAGAAGTAAAAGTAAAATAACTATAACTACCATAATGAACAGTGTGTGTGTGTGTGTGTGTGCGTGTGTGTGTGTGTGTGTGTGTGTGTGTTCCCCTGCGCGTGCGAGACACACACACACACACACACACACACACACACACACACACACACACACACACACACACACAGCCAATATCAGACTGGATGGGGGAAAGCTGAAAGCATTTCCTCTCTGATCTGGGATATGGCAAGGATGTCCACTCTCACCACCCTTATTTAATAAAGTATTGGAAGTTTTAACAAGAGCAATTAATCAAGAGAAACACATGGCATCCAAATTGGAAAGGAAGAAGTTTAATTATCCATGTTTGCAGATGACATGATTCTATCCCTATAAAGAACCAAGTACTCCATCAAAAAATGTTGGACTTAGAAAAGTATTTCGAAAAGCTGGAGGATATAAAGGCAACATATAAAAACAGTAATAGTGTATGTACAAATAATGAACCTCATAAAGAGAAATTAAGAAAATGATCTTGGGGCTGGAGAGATGGCTTAGTAGTTAAGAGCACTGACTGCTTTTCCAGAGGACCTGGGTTCAATTCCCAGCACCCACATAGCAACTCACAATTGTCTGTAATTCTAGTTCCAGGAGACCCAACACCCATGTCAAAATTAATTAATTAAAAAAAGAAAACTATCCTATTCACAATATCCATGTAAAAAGTTTATAAATAAATTTACCAAGGAAATAAAAGATCTCTACAATGAAAATTATAAAACACTGATGAGAGACATTATAAAAGACAGAAGAAATGGAACAACATTCTTTAGTTCAGAAATAGGAAAAATCAGTACAATTAAAATAACCATATTGTAAGTAAAATCTATAGTTTCAATACAATTCTCATCAAAATACCAACAACATTCTTCACAGAAATATAAAACCATTCCTAGTTAATTCGGAACCACACACATCCACACACAAAAAGAACTGGAGTAGCCAAACCAATTCTAAGCAGGACCAAAAATAAGAGAAGTGGGGAGGGGAAATTGGAGGCATAGAGCTAAGGCAGTAACTAGGGGAGAGAGCACTGGCCAAGCATGTGTGGGGTCCTAGGTTCCATCCCCCAGCACCGTCAGAAAAGCACACAAACAAAAAGCCATGGTCTTGAGAACCGGGAAGCATCACAATATCTAATTTCAAAATGTAATCCTAAACTATAGTAACTAAAACAGCATGATACTCGTATGAGAACAGACACCACCAACGACGGAACAGAACAGAGGACCAGAGGTTAATCTGCACTCATGCAGCTGGCTTATCTTTTCCAAAGGCTCTGAGAAAAGACCAGTGACATCGTTAATGGTGCTGGCAAAACTGGACCTGCATATGTAGAAGTTAAAACTAGATCCTCTAGCACTAGTACATTGAAATCAACCCCAAGTAGATCTCGGACCTCAATTTTAAACCTGAAACTGAAATTACTACAAGAAAACACAAGGGGAACACTTACAGGTATGTTCACCCTGAGGCCTGTGGTCTGCATGCACCCCAGGATGAATGTAACCTAACACAAAATACTTAAAATATTATGAGATTTGTGTGTGTTTTGTTTTTGTAACTTGCTAGGGCCGAGATCTTGAATATGAACTTGGTAGATGGCAATGTCATATTGCAATGTTGAAAGGTTGCACAAGGCCAGCTGTAAGTGATGATAATTAGGTAGGACCAGAGGTACAGGTAATGGGATTATGTCAGACTATATTATATACAAGGAGCTCCTGCACAGCAAAGGAAATAATCAACAGAACTA